ATTTTATTCTGTTGCTCTTATAAAATTTTCTTAATTTCCTTTTGTGATTTCTCATTGTTAGTGTATATAAATGCAGCTGTTGTTTTGATACTGATTTTTTATCCTGCAGCTTTCCTGAGCTTGTTTATTATACTTTTTGGTGGTGGTTTTTGGTTTGTTTGTTTGTGGTTTTTTTTGGAAGAATCTTTTGGGTATCTACAAATAAGATCATGTTATCTATAAACAGATAATTTTGCTTCTTCCTCCAATGGGGATGCCTTTTATTCTTGTCTAATTGCTGTGGCAAAGACTTCCAGTGTGATGTGCACAAGGAGTGGTGAGAGGTCCTTGTCTCGTTCTTGATCTTCAAGGAAAAAGCTCTCCATCTTTGTTAACTGTACGTCCTTTTGTAAGATCAGGCAGATTCCTTCTGAGTTGAGTATTTTTTTTGTCAAATGCTTTTTCTCTATCAGTTGAAATCATGTTTTTCCCCTTTCTGTTAACATGTGTGGTAAATTGATTTATCATTCAGTAGACCTTACCCCTTACTGAACGTGGGGGTTGATGTCTGCACTGTTACCCTGGGGCTTCCAGTTTCCTCCTTCAGTTCTGTCACTGTTTGCTACAGGTGTGATTATCAATCTTCTTGCTGAATTCTTAACTGTTTGTTTATAATCTTTTTTTTTTTTTTTTAATGTTTTATTTATTTCTAGGAGAGAGAGAGAGACAGCGTGAGCAGGGGAGGGTCAGAGAGAGAGGGAGTCACAGACTGAAACAGGCTCCAGGCTCTGAGCTGTTAGTCAGCACAGAGCCTGACGCGGGGCTCGAATCCACGAACCGCGAGATCATGACCTAAGCGAAAGTCGGATGCTTAACCGACTAAGCCACCCAGGCGCCCCCTTAACTGTTTGTTTAAACATGAAGATAATAAAACTATAGGATGTCTGAGATTGACTGTAATGTCTTTGCTCAGTCAGGGGCACCTCGATAAAACAAATGAGATCATCATGAACCAGAAGGGTGGGTACACCCAGGACTTTATACCCAGGCTCAGCAGACCTGTTGTGTAAACACATGGTCTTTGTGGACCATGTGCTCCGTTACCCCCAAACGCTCCACCGTGACACCGTGATGCAGGCAGCCTCCCCACGAGGGGCTGTGCCACATGCCAGACGCTGTGGACACAGAAGCATGCGTTTCATAACCTTTCCATATGTCATGATATAGCATTCTTTTAGGTGTTTCACCATTTAAAAATGTAAAAATAATTCCTGCAGGCCATGCAAAAACAGGTGGTGGGCCAGATTTGGCCAGTAGGCTGTAGTCTGCCAACCTATTACTTATAGAAGAGAAAAATATGTTTGATATTTTTCCATTTTACTTCTGCAATAAAAAGGTAACAGGTATTTTGAAAAGTAATGTATGTTCATTATAAAAAGCCAATACACAGAAAATTGTAAATGCTACCCATAATTCTATTTGAGGTAATTGTGCATACCTGGATACAGTTTTCCAAGCTTTTTGTTACTTTTGAAGACACAGAAGCTCCCAAACATAAAGTGAAGAAATGTGAGGATGTGGCACTCCCCAGAGTACCCAGCGTGAGTGTGTCCGGGCAGATGGAGCCTCCTCTGTGCCCCCAAAGGAAAGCTGGCTTCATGTGCTTCTGTGTGGTGAGCTTGGAGACTCTTGCAGAACAGAAATTCTTGGTGTCTCCAGATAGCCTATTGACCAGTGTTGAAGTCTCCAGGGAAGAGAATTCGGAAATTCTAGTGATCAAGGGGCAAAAATAACCCACTTCTCCAAACTCCATTGGAGTGAATGGTTATTTCCTCTCCACTTCCAGACTCGTTCAGCTTTCTTGAAAATACAGGTAAACTGCACTTTTTAAAATCCTATAAATATTTTCCTAAAACTCTAACACTGATCTTGACTTAGGAAATTACAGTCAATAGAAGTGATCCCAAAAAGGTAATAATAGATTGTTTGGAAGCCTGAAATTATACACAGCCTCTATCACCAATGAAAGTATCTCACCTGCAATTCTGAAAAACATGTTAAGACATTAATTTCTTTTTTTTTTTTTTAAGACATTAATTTCTAATTGCATACATTTATCCATCCAAATGGACAGCCTTGTTGCACAGCGTGGCTGCTACCAAGGTGGATATGAGAACGTGGACCAAGAGACCGAAGTTTTAAGCGCCTGGCGATGTGATCACAACCTCTGGAGGCCCGACACCAGAAAAAGACTCGGAGTGTCTGGCCCCTGAGTGAGCACGTCCTGATGATGGTGCTCACTGAGGTGGCGGAAAAAGAGCCTCCAGCACAGCGGATCTGCCTCCACCGTTTGGGGAAGCTTAACCCCCTAACTTATATTTAGCATTTACAAGGTTTTTATCAAGCCAACATAATTCATACACCATATCCTGGATTTGAAGAAAAAAGAGCTAAAAAGATCTTTTTCAGCCAAATGGAAAACTCTGCGTGAGTAATTTTGTTGTGCCCTCGATACAGTAATGATTCAGGGGAATCTCATTTTTAGATGTGCATACTGATGGCACTTAAAGTTGAAATATCATGTCTGTAGTTTACGTTTAAATGCTTAAATGAATCCCCTCTTAATGTTGAAAAAATGACTTGGTAGCTGGCTGGGCTGTCAGCTGGCCTGTCACAGAAAGTGCTTCCTTTTTACATGAAAAGGCAAGAACCACGGTGGAAATCGCCAGCATCACTGCATGAGCGGCCTTCGATCTGTGGAGAAGGAACGTGGCGCTGGTTCAGGCAGAGACGGTGGGTGACCCCACAGGAGACTCTGAGCAAGAGGCCAGGACGCAAACCCTGGAGGCGGAGGAGGCTCATGGCAGAGCCAGAGGTGCCCATTGAGGAGAATGGTTCCATCCCGGCTCCCCCAGAAGGAGACGTGCACGGGGGGCGGGGACACACCCTCGAAACCACAGATGTCATCAGGCCAGTGGGTGTCAACCGTCTCACGGAAAGATGCCACCAATGCTTTATTTAGAAAGTAACAAAATATTCGGAAGAGGAAGGGTTTGAATTTAAAGTCTTCTCAGCAGATGATGCATCTGATGAGCCTATTTTCACCTCCAGATACAAGCACACACAACCTCCCTGCCCCTACCCCTGGGCCAGGGTGGCCGGCTGGCCACGGCCACTCATGCGCACGGTGACCTTGTCCCACCTGCATGCGGTGCAGACCCTGGTCTGGACACAGCGTGCGGAAGGCCTTGCTGCTGTTGATGCCATCACGGTGACTGAGCCAAGTCTGTGTCCCCGGGGCCAAGCCAGCACGACTGGAGCGCAGGGGAGCTGCCAGCGCAAGGTGACGAGGCGGGGGAGCCCTGAGGGCACGAGAGGGCCTGCCGAGGCCCCTGCAGAGGGTCACCGGGGTGCCCAGGTGCTCTGATTGCACGGGCACCTGACGGCAGTTACTGAGTGGACCCTCCATGGAAGTCCGTGTCTGAGCCAGCCCTGCGGTCACCCCAGGGTCATAGCCTCTGCAGTCACACTCAGAGGAGCGACAGAGTGACGGTTTCAGTGTTCTCCCAGCCATCCACAAGAGCAGGCGGCTGTCAGTGGCCTGAGGCCACATGCCTGCCTCATTGCATGTCTCCTCCCACAGCTTGTTGTTACAAGTGTCACTGCCTAACTTATAAATGACCTGTTACAGGTACGCACAGGGAGGGGGCCAGGGCCTGTGGCTTGGGACCAGCCCCCTGGTACCTGAGCCATGGCCAGGTGGGGTCCCCTGTGAACCCCTTTACTGAGGATACGCGGCCTCTGTGTGGCCCAGACCGGGCCTGTGAATGGATTCTGTGGGAGCCCAGCTCTGGGGCACTGTCTGGAACCAGCAAGGGGGGACCTGGGGGCAGAGACCTGCCCAGAGCCAGCCAGACAGACGAGCCCTCCACGGCCGGCCAGCCCACACGTGGACGGGGGCAGACGGCTCCCCAGCTCCGGGGAACGCTCGGAAACGCCTGACGCTGCCTCCACTGTGCCCGAAGCCCACCCCAGGGTTCAGCTCCTCACCCAGGGGACGGTGGTGAACACTTACTGCAAAGCACCCCAGGGTTAGAAAGGTGGTCCTAGCCAACTAATCTTCAAGGCTTACCGAGTAGTGCGCCATCTGGTCCTGGTCTTTTGTTCAGGCAAAGAAATACCCGCTGAGGAAGCAGCAGAAAACGCAGAAAGCCGCATCGTAGCAGTGGCTACAAGTAACCGGGCAAAGGGAGCGGGCGGAGGAAGCTCCCTGGACGCACGAGGACCCCTGCACCACAGGCAGGTTTGGGGGGCAGCCGGGGAGCATGCACTTGGGCCCGACCTGGGGGAGCCACCCCAGGGGTGAGGCAGGGTGTGGACGACCAGGGTGACGGGACTTGGACTGGCCCTCCGTTGAGACAACGAAGGGACACTCCAGAGGCTGAAACCACCGCTCAGGACGCCTGTGGTAAGGAAAGCCGCGCCCCCTGACCCTCCCTGAAAGTGCCTGTGCCCTGAGACCCACGGCTGTCCCTCCGCGTTGCTTCCCCAGCTCTTGAGGTATGTACCTGACTCCTCAGACACGGGCCATTTTCCCAGAGACTTGTGTCTTAAGGGCGGTAATCTTTTAAAAAGATAAAGGTGCTGGGTCCGTTGAAGCATCCAATTTCAGCTCAGGTCATGACCTCACAGTTAGTGGGTTCAAGCCCCACGTGGGGCTCTGTGCTGACGGCTCAGAGCCTGGAGCCTGTTTCAGATTCTGTGTCCCCCTCCATCCCTCCCTCCCCCCAGGCGCTCTCTCAAAGATAAGCACTTAACTGATTAAGTAAAACTCCTGTTGCCAGATGTTCCTGATGCTTAGCTGCGTGAAGGGAACACTTGCTTATCAGAGCTCTGTATCTTTAAGCCCCAGAGCACACACGCCCCTCCCCTGCGCACAGGTGCAGGGACCTGGCTCCTCCAAAGACTGAGGGTGACAAAAGGTAGTTCAAATATGCAAAAGATACATCTTGAACACTTACGTTGAAATTGGCATTTATTTATTAAAAAGTCTACATGTACTGTTTGCATTTTAAAATGAGGTTTAAGGTATCAAGAAAAGTGCCGTTAGCTTTAAGTGGTTAAAGTCCCCATAAGCATTCGCCTTGGGTAGACACCAATAGTCATGCAAACTAATAATGAAAGAGGAAATGTTTTTTAAAACCTCAGCATTAAGAATGAATTCTAACTTTCTTTGAAGCCGCTCACTTTCCCTTAAAAAACCAGCAACAGTGGGAGCACAGACCACTTGCTCTTTACACAGTGAAGGTGCGTGTTCACAGGATGCAAACAAAACCCCACATCAAAACCACGTCCTTCTAAACCTGTGAACTGCACAAAGTTGCTTTGGTAAATTCTATCAAGGAAAAATACTTTTCTCCCAAAGCACATCAATAAATATATTAAAAACCACAAACATATTCATTTAATCTGACACAACAGAAGAAGAGTTTATTTCTACAGTAATCTTTGCAGACAGGAAAAATGATTTTCTAGTGCATATTCTACTTCCCATCTGGCTTTGTCTTCAGATTTTAGAAACAACGTTACAAAGGAGGAGGGTGCCGACCCCGCGTCACAGACTTCCGCAGAGGTGAGTGACAGGCACTTAGCATCCCCCGGCATGACTCTGCAGCAGCCCGCAGGGGACAGACACACCTCCCCCCTCCCCCCAGGAGGCAGCTTCGTGGAGCCTTGGACACAGTGTTTATTTCCCGGGGCCTCAGCTCCCGCTGTACAATCCTTGCATAAATCTGCCACCGTGGGCACGGCTGGAGGGGACATGGGGTGGTGGCCTAGCTACTGCCCCACTTACCTGAGGAAACAAGGCTTTCCCTGCAACACGAACCCCCCGCCCCCCCGCCCCCGGCACTACAAGGCTCCCGCGCAAACTGGACTAAACGCCACTAAAACCTTTCCCCCTTCCCAGACTCGGTCAGGTAAGCTGCTCATTACCACAAGATGGATGAAAGACGGCTAAACGGACGGAGGACAGACGGACACTGTTCCCCCTCGGGAGTCCTGACATCAGGCCTGCGTGGTGACCCCCAAGGAGGTTAAATGAGCAGCACGGAGGAGGACAGTGTGTTTCACAAGAGGTATGCACAGTGTAAATGGAGGTTTGTTTTTAACCCAGAAAACCCCTCTGCTTTTTCTTTAAACCCCATTACCTCAGACAGACTGGTGAGCTGCCTGCCGCGGAGACGCGCGCAGCCTCTGTTTGAACACCAGACTCCCGGACATCACAGAGAAGAGGCACTTGCAGTGTTTTATACAGTTTTAACTCTATCAGCAACTTAGCATCTGCCAAGAGTTTTCAGTCACTAAAACTGATCCACACTTTATGGTTCCTTAACCTGCAATCAGAGGATGTGAAGATCAAGATGCGCAAGTTCAGGACCTGGGAGACGCACACGTGGTCACCACCCAGCACACGGGACGCCTCCTCCCAGGGCACGAGATGAAGATGTGTGCGCGTGATGGCGTTTCATGCTTGATCAAATGTAGCCTTTGCTTTTCCAGTATTTAAAATGAGAGAAAGTTTAATTTGCCAGGTTAAAAGAAATTGAACGTAACCTCTGGAAGATTCATTTCACGCCTGGATTACAGCTTCCTGCTGAGAAGAGAGGACGTCACAGGTGCCACATGCGAGGGGCAGGGGACACGGCGAAGCCTGTACGAGGCGGCTCCATGGATGGGCACCACGGTGTGGGGGCCCCACCAGCCCACAGAGGAGATGCCCCACTGTCCACACGGCAAGGACTGAATGACTCGACCCGAACAGACATGCTGGGAAGCCGCAGACCAAGAGCCCACGCACGACCGGAGGGGACACGCAGGTGCCACTGGGGTCCGCAGGCCCTTCCCGGGGGCAGTGCGCCCACAGGTCACTCCAGCTCCTCCCAGTCGTCTGTCAGGTGGCCTCTGCTCTGCCGTCGGATGCCCACCAGCTTCCCGGCCGAGCGGAGGCTCCAGCGAGAGCTGTTCGCGGAGCTTGCCAGGCTGGTGTACTTGCTGCAGCCACTGGCGCCCTCCTCCCAGCCCGGCCCGGACGGACGGCTGCTCGCGGGGTCACCCGGCTCGGCGCTCACGTCCTCCAGAGCAAGTCGGGGAGGCTCCCAGCCTTCAATCTCATCTGGCTTCTTAGACTGTATGTTTTGTTTTAAACTCAGATTGTCCCAAAATCCCGATTTCTTCTCCGTCTTCAGCTCTTCTCTCAACCGTAAGTTAGCTCTGCGGGAGACAAGATGGGCAAGTGTTGGTGACCGTGGCCTTTGGGGCCTCAAGAAGTGTCTGCTGTATACACAGAACACTCCTGGGAAAACTTTCAGTGATTTAGAAAGTAACCACAAATCTATTGTGTAAAATTTTAGTTAACGTTAGTAAAGAGATTTAGTCCCTAGGTGTCGGAGAAGCCGAAAGTGTATTTTAAGATGCCACGCCGGGCAGCACACAGGAAGGGTGCCAGCTCTCACACAGCGAGGCACTCGAGAATCCGAGCAAAGCAGGTAACAGGAGGTAACACTATGGGGATGAACATTCCAGTTATCAAATCCACCGTTAGCAGGCCTTATCCCAGGTAGCAGGCGAGTCTGAAGCACCAAGTGGGAATTCACCGAACACCATGCCTGTGAGGACAGGACACCGCAGTGTGGAGGACGGCCCTGGGCACCAGGATGTGGACCGAGGGGACCCACGCACACAGCCCGGCCAGGGGAGTGTGCGCAGAAGTCATGGCCGTGGTGCTGCCCAGGCGCCTCGAACAAGTGCTTGGTCTGTGATCAGGCTCGCATAGACTTCCCTCCAGTCAGACGTGCTGTCAGCAATTGCTGTTGCTGAATTTATATTTTCATGTTTAAATACACTTTTAAAACTTTCAGTTATAATAAACAACGTGTCAGCTTAAATATATTCAATTTCCAAACTCTTTTACAGTTCACCAATCCTTTGCATTTTTAACTTTTTTTCCTTGATTCTCTGAAGCTACAACCTCTCCAGCATGGCTGCAGGCCCCTTGAAGGCTAACGTGTTCCACTTACAAGTCTGAGTTCAAGAGCTCGTTTGAGAAACACCGTCTCTCATGTTTCCATAATCTCTAGCTCCCTTGTGACCTTCTCCCAGAAAAACATTTTACTTACTTTTTGTCTCCTGAACGTCAAAATTAGTACAACCCACTTCTGTCTACTCCCTGGGGAAGGAAACCCTATCTGCCCGCAAGAGGGAAGGACAGACCACGGTTTCGAGGTGATGTCACCTACAGCACCTGCCTCCCTGGAGGCCATCGCACTTGAACCCACGGAGACTTACCCTTTGGACTTGGGGGATTTACATCGTTCAAGCAGGTGCTGTTCATCGTCCTTATTAAACAGAGAAGTCACTTCCTTCCAGCCTCGGAAACTTGCTCCCTGAACCTAATTAAAAGTTAGAGAAAGATCAGATCTGAGGTAGTAAATGAACAGTAACCGTGGAGCTTTAAGGTAGAAAAGGAACCAGCACGGCCACCCTTCCTGCTCCGTGTCTGCACCCGTTCAGGTCCCCCTTGCTGCCCGTGACTGCGGAAGTCACACACGCCACTGGCACGTCCAGGCTGCCAGGGATGCTCTCCCACGCTCTGGAACAGGCTGGCCACACCTGGCACCGTGGATTCAAAGGTTTGTGTTAATACGAAGAAAGGAATGGAGGGAAAGGAAGGTCCCCTGAGCAGGTGCCAGCTGGGCCTGGGCTTCTCCTTGCGTGAGGAAGCGGAGGGGGACTTCCGGGGGCAGGCCGTGCTTTCGGATACTTTGACGTTAGATACATAATGTAAAATGAAGCAGCCATGGACACTGGACCAAGAGGGTGCATGATGGCCATGGCTTCTGACGGTATCCAAGAACAGGGAAAACGGCTTATTAACTAACCTGCCGAATGACCCAAAGACCTGACGCCCCAGGAGCCCCGAGGGGGTGGGTGCCAGCTGGTCAGGGCTGCCCTGTGGGAGGGCCACTCTCGATGGAAGAGGCCTTCTTACAGTGTTCAGATGAGCCAGAGATGGCCACAGTCCCGGGGGGACACGTGAGCCAGCAGCAGTGCTGTCCAGTCCCGGGGACCTCTTTGTTCTCAGCTTCCCTATCGACACATATATCAACGAAATTTCCATTTGTAACTTTGCAGTCTTTCTCCCACGTGCCCCAGACATTCCTCCAGGAAGGTCAGAGTTCACGGGCTCATTCTGTGGGACATCAAATCCTTGTAAGTTCAAAGATCGGTCGAAGACCTGGGTTCAGGCAATGAGGAAGAGAGGTCTCTGCGCACAGGTGACACTGGAAGTGGCAGAAGTCACATGGAACTACACAGATGATAAATGGCAGCAGGACTGCAAAGCAGAGGAGCCTGCGGTGAGTGACCGTGACTCGGCGGGGCGGACGGAACTGTGTACAGCCACAGTGGGCCAGGCACTCGGCTCTGTGGGCCTGATGCCCGTGCCACAGACTGAGCTCTGACCACAGTGGTCGAAAACTAGACCAAAAACGTAGGAAAGTGAGAAACTCAGGAACACCTGCAAATTAAAAACCATTCTTCTGAACAACCAATGGATCAAAGAAGTAAAAAAATCTTGAGGCAAACAAAACTGGAAAAACAACACACAGAAGCTTGGGGGCTGTAGCAGAAGCTGTCCTAAGAGGAAGCTCGTGCAGAAACAAGAAAGATCGCAAGTAAACAACCTAACGCTGTGTTCAAGGCGCTATAAAAAGAACTGGGCACAAAGTTGGCAGAACGCAGTAAACAGTAAAGATCAGAGGAGAAATAAGTGAAATACAGAACAAGAAAATAGAAAAGATTTACAAAACTAAGAGCTGATTCTTTGAAAACAGAAACCGGACAGATCTTTAGCTAGACTCACCCAGGAGCCATGGGAACAAAATATGTTAATGAGACGTGGCACTAATAGGTTGTGAATACAGAGTCATAAGAAGCTATGAATGACATATGCCAACAAACTAAACAACCTCGGAAAAATGGGTAAATTCTTAGAAACATACAACTTACCAAGACTGAATGAGGAAGAAATAGAAAATGCGCAGAAACCATTTCCTACTAAGGACTCTGAATCAGTAATAAAAGTCTCCCAAGGAAGGAAAAGCCCTGGGACAGTTGGCTTCACTGGTGATTCTACCAAACTGTTCCAAACTCACTTTACAAGAAGGCCAGCATTATCCTAACAGCAGACCAGAAAAGGACACTTCAAGCAAAGAAAATTATGGGCCAGTATCCCTGGTAAATACGGATGCAAAAATTCTCAATAAAATACTAGCAGACCAAAGTTCAGCACATGTAGACTCCTTCACCAAGGTCAAGTGTAATTTATCCCTGGGATGTGAGAATGGTTCAACTAAGCAAGTTAATGAACACAGTCCTTCATAAATGAAAGAATCAAAACACTCTTATTTCAATAGATGCAAAAAACTATTTGACAAAATGCAACACCCATAAATGATTAAAAACTCAAATTAGGTATAGAAGGAACAGAACAACAGACTAAAGGTAATAAATGACAAGCCCACAGCTAACATCACATTCAGTGGTGAACAACTGGAATGCTTCTCTCAGATCAAAAACAAAACAAGGATGCCCCCCACCCATTCAACCCAGCACTGGACATCCTGGCCAGGGCACCCGGACTAGGAAAAGAAGGGGCATCAGAAACGGAAGGGAATATGTGAAACTGTCTCTGTTTGCAGAATACATGATTTTATAAATAGAAAAGCCTAAGACTCCAGCAAACCAATGTCCGGTCTAATCCATGACTTCAGTGTATCTCCAGTGTGCAAATTCATATTCAAAATTCAGTAGCCTTTCTTTACATGAACAGTGAATTTTCTAAAAAATGCTCCCATTTACAGTAGCATCAAAAATGATAAAATGCTAAAGAATAATTCATCAGGTGAAAAGCTCTACACTGAAAACTTACAAGACACTGGTGAAAAAGACAGAAATAAATGGAGAAGTATCCTATGTTCATGGACTCCAGTGATCCTGTCAAAATCTCCATACTTTCCAAAGCTGACTACACATTCAGTGAGATCCCTCAACGATTCCAATGGTATTTTTTTTAACAAAGAAAAATCCTAAAAATGTGTATGAAACCACAAACGACCCCAAGTAGCCAAAAACCACAAAGAAAGAAAACATGGGAAGACCCATGCTCCCGGATTACGAAGCTGTGGTGACCCATACACCACAGCACTGCACTGGCAATGACACAGGGACACACAAACACAGGGAACGGAACCAAGAGCCCAGAAATAAACCCACAGTCACCTAGTACCTAACGAGAGCCAGTAACAGTCAGTGTAGAAAAGACAAGTTTCCTCAGTAAATGGTGTTGGAAAAACTGGACCACTGTCTTACAGCACTCATAAAAGTAACTAGAAATGGATTAAAGAATTTAAGACTGGAAAACCATCCGGGACACCTGGGTGTTTCAGCTGGTTGAGCATCCAACTTCGGCTCAGGTCATGATTTCACGGGTTTGTGGGTTTGAGCCCCGCATAGGGCTCTGTGCTGACAGCTCAGAGCCTGGAGCTGCTTCCGATTCTGTGTCTCCCTCTCTCTCTGCCTCTCCCCTGCTCACGCTGTCTCTCTCTCTCTCTCTCTCTCAAAAATAAACATTGAAAAAATGTTTGAAGGAAAAAAAGGCTGGAAAGCTGTAAAGTTCTAGGAGAGAACAGCACAAAGCCCCTCAAAGTGGGTCTTGATGATTTTTGAGTGTGACACCCAAGGAAGGCGCAAGCAACACAACTGGGACCAAACCACAGAGTTTGTGTGGAACAAGCGACCAACAAAGTGAAAGAACAGCCTGCAGAGTAAGGAAAAAATATGTGCAAACCATGTAGCTGATAAGGTGGTAATATCTAAAATCTATAAAGAACTCTACCTTAGTAACAAGAAAACAATAATCCTATTTTAAAATGGGGAAAAGATAAAAACAGGAATTTTTCCAAAGACATGTACACACTAAGGTGCCCACATCACCCTCACCAGAGAGAAATGCGGCACACCTGTCACAATGGCTGGATTCAAACACCAGGAACTGCAGGTGCTGGTGAAGATGGGGAGAAGCTGCAGGCGGGGAGGCACCGGGTGCAGCCACCGTGGAACACAGTGCGGAGCTCTGTCCAGTGATGGAAAACGGCACTACCGTGTGATCCAGCATTCCACTTCTGGGTATTGATTCCAAGGAGGCAAAAACTGCATCGAAGGGGCATCTGCACCCGCGTTTTCAGAGCAGCATTATTCACAAGAGTCGAGGTAAGGAAATAACCCGGTTTCCACAGACATGTGAAGGAAACGTAGTACACACGAACAAGGGAATGGGATTCAGCCACAAAAAAAGAAGTCCAGTGACAATGTGGCTGGACCTCAAAGAAGTTATGCCAACTGAAAACTTAAATACTATAAAATCTCACTTATTAGTGTCATCTTAAAAAGCTCAACAAAAAGAACACATCTGTGGATACCAGAGGCACAGTGAGGGGTGTGCGTTGGAGGAAGGGGGTCAAACGGTATAAACCCCTGGCTGGGAGACAGGAAGGGCTGGGGTGTCCTGTACAACCCAAGGACCATGGCCGCCTCTGCGGTGTGACATGCTGGAAACCGTCCTTAGATCCTAAGGGCTCCTAAGAAAAAACGTTTGTCTTTTTTTGGTGTCTACGTGACAGGATGTCCACTGTGCCCATGACTCGTGCCCAGCCAATGCGCCTGCAGCCACGTCTCCATACACTGAGAAATAAAACCGCCTCTTTGGTCAGAATATAGATCCTTATCCAACCAGATTAAACTCCCCAAAGTGTCAGCCCTCCAATTTCAGGGTCTCAATTCATAATCTTAAAATTTTAAACAATATGTCCCCAAGTTACTTGAAAATCAAGTACTTGAAGTGCTTTACTTACCCAAACGCAGCAAGTGCAAACTCATCTCAAACTTCCCAGCATCTTGAGCAACCCAGAAGCACCTATTGTTCACAGTATGTAGGAAGCAGTGGCTACTGTCCCCAAGGGCCTCTGGCAACTCTTGGTCCAAAATGTACCGACACACAGATTTCCCCACAGCAAGAAAAACTACAGCAAAACTGAATGGTGATGGGGGCACCTGGGGGGCTCAGTTAAGTGTCTGACTCTTGATCTCGGCTCAGGTCTTGATCTCATGGTTCATGGGATCCAGCCCTGTGTTAGGGTCCGTGCTGACAGTGCAGAGCCTGCTTGGGACCCTCTCTCTGCCTCTCCCCTGCTCACACACACACATTCACGCATTCTCACTCAAAATGAACCTAAAAAATCCTGAATGTTGATGAATGAGCCACACCATTTCAACGGTGAGGACAAAGGGAATATTGTATCACACTACCTCTGAAAACCAGGAACTAATGTGA